TTACATTTCCATTTCTGGTATACTAAAGGATATACAAGACCAATAAAAAGTTGTGGGACTAGGTGTCCTGCACTATACCACATGCACCAATTTTTTTTCATGTAAATATTTAAATAAACCTATGCTACTAAAATAGTTATCCATATAGATGTTAAAAGATTTACCAGTTGGCAGTTTTTTTAATAAATGATAAACTTCACATCCTGTTTGATTAACTCCTGGTATATTTTGAACCAATGGATTTTTTTTTATTCTTGATGTGAATGTGAAATTATATGTGTATCCTGCATCACACAAAGCAAATACTTTATATCCCTCAGGGGTAGGTTTATTTTTCATTCTAATAGTATGAGGACTTCTACCAGAAAATCTAATGATCATTTCATCAACTGATAAATTTGAGGAAGGAAGATAATACTCCATGCAACTATTTAAAATACATGATGCAAGTGGTTCAATTTTGTGATACCATGGAGTATCTTCTTGAATATTTTCATTTGGATCTGAGACATGAAGGTATCTTTTTATTTGTTCAAATTTGATCAAGGACATGTAATCAGTAAATTTATGCCATGGATATTTATCTGAAGTTTTCCAATAATCTCTCATTGATGGCAATTTAAAAATACCAGAATATATTACTATTCCCAACCAAATTTTAAAATCACATAATTCAAGAAGATCCCATTGTCTTCCAGTTCCAGCATCTTTTTTATCAGCATAAATATTTGTGTTCCATACAATGGTATTTAGAACATCAGCAGTAAAGAACAAACTAAATAATTCATAAGGTGTAATATCAATTTCTGAAGGCAATAATGCTCTAGATTCATGTAATGGATTTTCATGCACAAATTTATTAAATGATGGAACTGGTGGAAGATCAATTGTCTGTAAATTATTTTCATTTCCTCCTCTACCTCTACCTCTACCTCTACCTCTACTACTTCTCACCCTTACTCCATCCCTTCTTCCAGTTTGATTTTCATTTCTATCATCATTATTAATATCAATTAACATGTGTCCATCATTTTCATTGTTAGTAATATGATCAATTTGCATTTGATCTTCTTGATTATTATTGTCATTATTTTCTTCAATATCATCTTCATTTATTTCATTTTCATTAAATATAGTTAAAGGTCTTTCTCTAATAATATTGCATAAATATTTATCACTTCCACCGAAATTTTCATGTTGTTGAATGATTCCTTCCTCTGTACTCATTTTTTAAAATAACTGGTATTAGTTTTTTTTTTTTAAATTAATTGATTTATTTTTAAAAAAATGAAAATTTTACTTCCCTTTATATACTCTTGCTTTGGATGATGATGGTACATTTATTTTTGCTTTTTTTAATTATTGGCAAAGAAATTCGGGCAAAATTTTCGGGTGTTTTGATGATCTGCAATATTGTTGTACAAAAAAATTTCCGATTTTTTTCCAATTGCATGACTTTTAAAGAAAGTTATACGAAAACCACAAGGACAACACTCAAAAATTTTTTTACAGACCAATTGGCTGAATCTCAAAGATCATTTTCGTATTAGGAAGTTATATGCTTAGAGAAAATTTTTATATCAGAAAAATTTTATCAGCTATCAATAGCCGATTAACCGTTAAGGGATAAATATAAATCTAAATTTATCCTTTGGTGTCCTTCTAGCTTCAACAATTATTAGTAAACTCTAAGTAAATTGTAATATTTATTTTCTACAAAAAAAAACCATCTTCAGAAGCACAAAAGGGTTTTGACATTGAACATTGTATTTAACTTGATAAAATTAATTTAATTGATTCAATTCAAAGTTTGTTTCAAGTATCAATTGTCAAACAAGTAAATGATTAAATTTTTATTTATTTATTAAAATCTTGGAGGAAAAATAATTTAAAATACTTATGTTAAAGTGTAATAATATATATTTATGCTTTATTTTCAAAAACTATCTTTCACTAAACAATACTCTCCATTGCTAAAGAAAAAAAAAACCAAATAAAAAATAATTATACACAGGATTAGTATGTATGTGGTTACAATTATGAAGTTGTATAGATATACAAAGTCAAGATGTGACAACGTTATTTATATTAATATGTTCTAGATTCAATCATCTAGTTCCCTTATTTCTTGGTAATGTAATCACTTTTTCAATTTAACACTTATTGGCCAGTTGATACTACAGATATCAGAACCCCTAAATTATATATATCTGATACTGTTGTATATGGTTTCTCCTTTAAAACTTCAGGCACGAGATATGGTAATATTCCAAATATATCATTTTTGTTTGATGCAGATGTTTGTCTAGCTGAGTATGATAATCCAAGTCTGTAATTTATGAAGGACTAGAATATTACCAACATGAAGATTACAATGAATAGTTTCTTCTTTATGAATATATTTCTTCAATAATTTCTCTAAGAGTACTAATTTTGTCTTCTCATTTTAAATTTTTAAAATCCTCTGTTAAATAATTTTTGAAGACTTATACCTACCTTCCATACATTATATTCTTTTGTAACTGAATCTTGTGTTGATCCATAAATCATATTATATGAAATGATTTATCATGAAGTTTCACATAATTTTTGAATTAACGTAACAAATAAAATATTTTAATTACAACAATAACAATCAATAGTATTTTAAAATATCTGGAACTAATATTAATAGAATCGTTTAATGAATGACACACAGTCATATCTCACTATACCTTAAACGGTCAGAGTATTTCTTTAATGTTAACACAAAATCACGATCTCGGATTCTTATTGGTCAATATAATGATCAGCAAAGTAAAAATAGCCAATTGACCAACTAGCATGGTGGAAGTTTGTTGTTACACGAAATGTCATACAGAACTCATTGCTCCTGAAACTTCACCAGTATATAGTTGTTACCTCTATAAATTGGAGATCAAGTTCAGATCCAATTCAAATCCAGTTTATCACTTACTTTTTATTGCCAGAATGTTTGCCTTGTATTGTAAAGCTACGTTGCACAATATAAAAAATTAGTGCAACATTTCAAATTTCCACTATGCTCGACCAACTTTTAAAAGAAAGTTATATAAAAACCACAAGGACAACACCCGAAATTTTTTTACAGACCGGTCAGCTATATCTCAGATATCATTTTCATATCAGGAAGTGATATGCTTAGAGAAAATTTTATATATCAGAAAAATTTTTATCAGCTATCAATAGCTGATTAACTGTTTAAGGGATACCTTTCTGTATATTTATCATCATTTAACCAAGTAGCTTTGTATAGTCTTCACCTGTCCTTTAAATATTTGCTAAATCATTATAAGAAGTCCATTGAAGATAATAATGGTTTTCATATCTTGCATATCTTGTTGATTTAAGTTGTACTTTTTTTTAATCAACTCATCTAATGTTTCATTGCCACTAGTCCATCCTTCAATTACATAAAAGCTTTGAATCACATGATTTACATTATCCTGAATAAGTATTATATCTATTGCAAGTTGGACATTTTCCATACTTTTCTTTTCTTTTATATTTATATAAATCTTCATAATTTTGAAGACTTCCATCTCATATATAATCTATTACAAAAATATATTCTTTGTAATTGGATCTTGTGTTAATTCAGAATATCTTTATAATATATTGTGTTTTTAAAAGAAAAACAACTTACAAAAATCAAGAGAGAACTTCTAATGGTTTGTTTGGTGAAAAAAAAAAAATTTTTGATACTGAAATTGAGCAGGCTATGACATTGCAAATAAATTCAAGGACAAAGAAATTCCTATTTTCAATGCACTTTTCAAGATTACATTGGAGTGTTTACACCATTCCCATTCTTCTATATACTATATTATATATTCTAGAATAAGAAAATATTAATATAAATGCAAAATATAATAATTTACAATTGTTCTAGAGCCTGTATGTATTATATATGCTAATGATGAATGACTTGCATTATTTCTGTATATACATGTAGAAGTTTTTACATCAGTGCTGAAGATCTTGTATTAGAAATCTAAACATATATTTTTTAATCATACTTCTTTCCGAATTAAATATACATATAATTAAGTAAAAATAAATAAACTTTTGAATGAAAAGATAAACTTATGTGTATGCTTCTTTTAATGCCATAGATGCCATGAAAAGATGACATGTCAACGGGAACCGTGATAGTACTGTAATGTATACCAGAATTTATCCTCGACCCTTTGAGCTCTTTGTTTACCACCTTCAAAAACTTGTCATAAGTTGACCAATTGCAAATATTTTTAAAGACACTAGTCGTTTTGATTGATTATGTTTCCTTCTCCTTGTTCTTGTTCTTTTCTTGTTCTTGTTCCTGTTCCTATTGTCTTTTTTTATCTTCTCGTTTTTGTTGATTATTTTCAGTCATATTATTATTGTTGAAATTAGAATGATTTTGAAAAGATCCAGGCTGAAAATTTATTGATTCATATTAGTAATACTTTTAAATATTCGTGTTAATATTCATTATTGCTTTTGTATCCGGATTAAAGTTTGGCCATTCAAAAAAACTTTCTTTATCCATAAATAAAATTATAGTTGCATACAAAATTTTAAAGCATCATGTCTCATAATTATACTTATAATATAAATTTATAAAGAATTTTATGAAGTAACAGGGAGAAAAGAAAAAGAGGCTTTATTTTCAAAAAAATATATCGAATTGAATTATTAAATTAAAACTCATTTAATTTCTCTATTAATTTTCTATGAAATGGTTCACTCAACACAAATAATCCTTTAGTTGTTATGATACGATGAGTAGGCATTGGTTGATAGGTTTCAGAAATGATTTTGCCATCTCTAACTTCTACCATTCCAATAATATCTTCTGGAAATGGTATACGACCCCAAGGCGAAGGATCTCGTAAATCTTTTTTTTTTTGAATAAAAGAATGAATGAAAAGAATTCATTGATGAATTTGTTAAAATATACAAATATTTTAATAATAATTCAAAAATTTACCAGAAATATGATGCCATCTAAACATTATAAAACAATTAATAAAGAAATAAAATAAATTATATAAAAATATTAGTTAATTAACAAATTACCCATTTTTTCGATATTTAGCAAATGCTTTTAATTCTAAATCTTCAATTGTTGCAACATTATCTGCTATAACTTGATGTAAAAGTTTTACAAATTTATCATTTTCCTTGAAATTTTTTGGAGTAGCTTTAGGCTGCGGTATAGATTTTTCATAAGGTATCCAACCAATTATAACATCATGATTTTTTACTTTGTTAATATCAGGTAGAAAAGAAAGTGCAAATTTCTTTGGGTAATTATTATTCATCAAATGATAAAAAAGTCCTTTATAATCTTTATCTTCGATAGTTAAATTACTGCCATGGCTACTATCGTGACCAATATATCTCTTACCATCGCCATAATTAAATCGTTTTGTTTTTATGAAAAAATTATTACCGACCCTTACTTTCTGAATTTGTTCAATTTTTATCAATCTTTTGTCATATCTACAATAATTTTTAATGAAAGTTAACATTATAAAAATATCTTTTCTAATTTTTTTTTGCGTAGATGATGATCAAAAGATCTATTTATTTGATTGGTTAATGAAAAGATTAGACTTTACATTGTCGTTGAAGAAGATCTTTTGAACTTTCTATCAATTTTTCCAAATAATATATTTACTATGACATATAGGGAGCGATCATTGAAGGGGCAGAAATTTTAATTTTTGCAATAATCTTTTTTAAAACAAGGTGGTATGGTGTAATGGGTACCTGTTCAGGACGTGTACTCACTATACTCAAAATGCACAGCGAATTGCAATCGTATACAACCATCGATAAAGAGAGGAAATACCTGTTTAAACAATGAAAAATTAATCTAAACTTTTATTAATTGAATAAAATAATTAAAAAAGTGTAAACAAGAATTTTTTTAATAATAAATTAAAAAATAAAAGGAAACTTAATTTTTAATTTTCTTTCATTGCACTTTTTTTAATAATAATTATAGTTATAACTATAACTATTAATAATAATAATAATAATAATAATAATAATCTCAGTTTGTACAAATTGTTCTTTTAGTAAAAAATTGTTAAGGAATATTATAACCTAGCATTAATTCATTACCTTGATGTCACCCACCAAATAATTAGCTCGGATTATGTATAATATATATAATATGTATGTATATATAATATATATATTAAACATATATATATATGTATATGCATGTATGTGTGTGTCCAGGTTATGGTTTAAAAAAAATTTTAATAAACCAAAAAAGCTGTATATAAAGAGCAAATAATAGAGAGCAAATTAAATTTCCTTACTGCTCTATAAAGTATCAATCCAATTTTCAAGAAACTTTTCATAATGTTCTCATTCTGTTTTAGTAGTCCTTTCTCTATCTCTTTTTTTTTTTTACATAAATTAAATATGTATATATATATATAGATGAGTTAAGAAAAATGTAAAATATAAAATTATGTAAAATACGTAAAATATAAAAAGAATGTCTAGTTCCATAAGAAATTAAACTAATCACGGTCAAAAATATGTTTACCACGTTGTTGGAAGTGAGTCATTGGTTTACCACTACCAACAACCCCAACTAATGTATATATATACATGTATAGAATTAATTTAATATATTAGTTATAAATATATAAAATTTATATAAATTAAAATATCCTATTATTTATTTACCTTTTCCTTCAGGATTTTCAGGTGTAGCAAAAATACTCTTCTTATTTATCGGTGGTTGAGCTAATCTTTTTGTTTTTGTGACTTTTTTTCCGGGTACTGTTGAAGTGCTACTAGCAAAAGCCAGCCAACTTTTCTGTTTTTGAACCTGTTCGTTAACTTTTTTCTGTCCATCACCAGCCTTTTTTTTTTTGTGTTCCTTTTCCTTTTTATCAAGCGACATTTTCCTTTTATTTTTTTCTAGTGGTTTTATATCTTGAACATTTACAAGTTCAACGTTATTATACCCTTTAAATATAACTGAAAATACTTGATCTCCTCCTCCAATTGCTGTTATTTCTGCTTGATAGAATTGTCCGTCTCCTGACCAACGTGCAAGGCAAGAGTCTCCCACTTGAAGTGGCTTTGTGAAGGTTGGCATTGTGCTTGAAATTGGAGTGGTAGGAGTAGAATTGGTTCTAGGTGAAATTGAAGAGGGAGACTTTTTAGGTGAAATTGTTACCTCTTGATCAAGTAGTTTTATAAGTTCTGTTAAATCAGCTTTTAGCTTTAATAATGAAGCATTTTCTGGCTCACTTCTTAATGCAAGATTCACTTGATCTAATTTATATTGATATTCAGTAAGTTCTTCTGTGCTCATCTTATTTTATTTATTAATAATTAAGGTTTTTTATTGAATTTATTATTATTATTATTATTGTAAAAAATTTTTTATTCTTGTAAAAATATAAAAAGAAAATTAACTAGGTGGGACAATTTAATGCACAAGTGTAACAGTATAAGTTAATCTTATGTGATAATAAACACAATCATCACCAAGATTTATTTTCTAAAAATGTCACAAGTAAGATAAATAACATCATTTATTTTTGTTTCCCAAAAAGAATTTTTTTATTTATCAATCCATTGATAAAAATAATAGGAATCATTTGATCAAGAAGAAGCTATTGAATTCATTGAACATGATGAAATTTTAGAAGAACAATTACTTGATGAAAATGATAATGAACAAATTCCAATGGATGATGATGACAATGGTGATGGTAGTGATGGTGAGATTGCTAATCTTGAAGAAGTAATGCTGGATGATTCAGTACAAGGCTTTTTTGATCATAAAGGTTTTCTGATTAGTTGATCTCTTATGTATACATGTCACAACATAATATTAATTTTGGTATCTTGATCATAAATTATTTAAAGAATCAGTGTATGCCGTTGATATAAACCCTATTAATGAAGAAATGATTATATCCGGAGGAGGAGATAATAAAAGTTATCTGTGGAGGTCAGATACTGGTGAAAAGTTGCACGAACTTTCTGGTTGTTGTCAGAATGCTTGATTAATAATAATATTTGATTTGATTTGATGAAAATACTTTTTTTTAATCTAATTTATGATTGATAAAATAATAGGTCACGATGATTCAGTTGTCTCAGTGTCATTTAGCAAAGATGGACAATATGTAGCAACTGGTGGTATGGATGGTAAAATTATGGTATGGAAGGTTGAGAATGGTCAACATGTTGCCACACTAGAAGGTCCAAATGAAATTACAGTATGTCCATAAAATTATTTTGTATATATGTGTTTTGATAATATCTAATATAAATATATACTTTTGATCAGTGGTTGGATTGGCATCCCAAAGGCAATGTTATTTTGGCTGGTACTGCTGAATCAACAATCTGGATGTGGCAAAGTATATAAAATTATTCATTGTTATCATTTTGGTTTTTTTTAAAAAAATACATAATTAGAAATATATTTGTATAATGTTTAAATAGTACCTTCAGGCAACTTTATGAATCTATTCGCTGGACATTCAGCATCAGTTACTGCGGGTCAATTTACTCCAGATGGTAAAAAGATTGTTACAGGATCAGAGGATTCATCATTAATAGTATGGGATCCAAAAAATGCCACATCTATTTTTAAATTATCAAGTAAATTATCACATATTTTTAAGACTATATTTGTTTGGTTGTTGATTAAACTATATTTATAGCATTAAATTATTGTTGTTGTTGTTACTGTTTAAGATGATGACTCAAGATTTCATCATGAAGGAATAACTTCACTTGCTATCAATAAAGAAAATAGTTTAGTTCTCACAGGTTCTATGGACCATTCTGCTAAATTAATCAATCTAACAAATGGACATGTATGAATAATAATAATAATTATTATTTTCAATTCAATAAACGCTAAAATCATTATTATCTCTATTACCATTATTATTATTAATTATATATATATATAGATTATTGGATCTTTTGAAAATCATACCGACTCGATAGAAACTGTTGGCTTTTCAGACATGTAAGATATATCTTTTTTTCAAATATAAATATTCTCTTTATCTTAAAAAATTAAATTAATAAATATTTTTATTTAAGATCATCATTAGCAGCAACAGGCTCGGTTGATAATAAATTAAATATTTGGGACCTTACTACAATGCGACTTCGGCAAACCTGTCAACACGATGTAAGTTTTTTTTAGAATATTTACATAAATATGCATGTATTAGTGAATTATTAACTTATTATATTATAAATACTATAATAATATCATAAGGACGCAATAGTTCAACTTCAATGGCATCATGAATCGCCCTTGATAACAACTTGTTCAGTTGATAAAACCGTTCGCATTTGGGATTATCGAACTGGTAATTGTGAGAAAGTTTTCCATGGACATGATGACACAATATTAGGATTCGTTATGTCAAAGTATAGATCTATTTTCTTATCCTAATGCTAATAATCAAATAAAATAATACTAATAAATAATACATTTTGATAATAGAGATGGTAAAAAAATAGTAACGGCTGGTGATGATCATGTGTGTCTTGTATTTGAACTTTGATTTTTCGTTTGCAATAAAAGAAATTATTTAATTTAAATAAAAATATATATATAAATTTTTTTGTTTTATTTGCCCTATAAAAATTTCTTTCTTCCTTTCCTTAGAGATAAATTTTATATATAAAATCCATAATTATATAACCCATATAAAATACCACCAATATTAATTGTTTCACTAAACCCACATAATAAGATTTTTAATAAATGAATTATATATTTTATATATAATAATATTAAAGATGATAATAATAATAATAAGCGATATAATAAAGATGTACTGTATATAATGTTATAAATGATTTATGAAAACAAAAATATGCAAAGAAACACGAAAAAGGTGCAAATATGCCTTAAAGCCCTAAATATTTATGTAGTAACATTCTCAATAATATGGTCGACGAGGATTGTTCTAGGAAGGGCGAGAGGTTAGTAGTGCACAACAATTTCCAATAAAATAAAATAAATTTTTAAAAAGAAATCATATATAGCAAGTAATGACGCAACCAAACAGAAAATGAAGTTGTGCATCAATACTTTCTTTCCCCCAAAAAAAGGAGAAAGAAAAATGCATAAACACAAATAATAATAAAATCTAGAAATGAAAATTCTTCTTCAATTATATCTAGGTAGATTTTCTAAAAAAGAAAACTTCACATACCAGAGGGTTTGGTCTAAACCTATAAGCTAGCATCATTCGTTTGCGATAAATTTCAAATTCGTCATCTTCTTCTTGAACATCATCAGGTTTTGTTTGCCCTAAACCAGCATTTGTTGGTCTTGTATCAGCTCTATAAAGCAGTAATCACAATAATAATGGTAATAAATAATATTTGGAAATCAATAATAAAATTCAATTACTAAATTATTAATAAGGGCTGTATATATCTTCTATATTGCGACATAACTTGTTAACAGGAGCAGAAATCCCTTCACCAGATTTTCCTAAACCAGATCCTGCCTGCCACCCTTGCTTCATCAACATTTTAAACCCAATGTTTGATTGATCTAACTTATTACTAGCATAATCTTCATGTTGTGGTGCAGGGCCACCGGTTTTAATGGCTTTGACTTCTTCCTCAAATTTTACCAATTCAGTTTTAGGCAAAAAGTCAGCTATATGATGTGCACGCTTGGCTTCAGCTTGAGCTGTCAACAATGCTGCATGTTCTTTTTAATAAAATTATTTATGATAATTAATAAAAAAACTATTTTCTAGTTAAATAGAATTCATACATGAAATATATCAATTAATTACCCGCTGTTTTCTTCATTTCCTCTGCTCTTTTTTTGTGTTCCCATGTACCACCATCTATAATTTCGTCTTCGGGATAAACCCATTTAGAACCAACACGTATCATTCCTGGTTTAGCACCCCCCGCATTGATGATAAAGAATTTAATAATTAAAATCCAAAGAAAACCTTTTAACAATTTTAATCAAATTCTGCCAGTTAGGAATATGAAAGCTATTCAAATTAAACAAACTGGAGGTTTAGAAGTTTTAGAACATGTTGATTTGCCAATTCCACAATTGAAAAATCCTGAAGATATCTTAGTTAAGAATAAATATATAGGAGTAAACTATATTGATACTTACCATAGGTATATATTAAATATATTATGAGTATTAATGAATTTTATTATTTATTATTAATTATTATTAGATCTGGTCTTTATAAGACCACATTACCAGCTATACTTGGTAGAGAAGGTTCTGGAGTTGTTGAATCAGTTGGAAATAGTGTTAAAGATATTAAACCTGGGGATAGAGTTGTTTATATTGGATCATCAAGTTATTCAGAATATTCAATTGTCAATGATAAATTTACTATGAAAATGCCTGATGAGATTGATTTCAAAGTTGGATGTGCAAGTATTATTCAGGTAAATTTAGTGACAAAAAAAATGTCTATTTGATTGTTTTTTAAATTTTTTAAATAATAATAGCATCATTTTTTTATAGGGACTAACAGCATTGACTTTAGTGAGTGAATCCTATCAAGTCAAAAAGGGCGATTGGGTTCTTGTACATGCAGCAGCAGGTGGTACAGGATCATTGATTGTACAATTTTGTAAAGGTTCAGGAGCAACAGTCATTGGAACAGTTTCAACAGAGGAAAAAGGACAGGTTGTAAAATCATTGGGAGTGGATCATGTGATTAACTACAAGATTCAAAATGTTGTTGAAGAAGTTAATAAATTGACCAATGGAGTTGGAGTAGATGTAGTTTACGATGGAGTTGGTAAAGATACTTTTGATGACTCTCTTGCATGTTGTAAAAGACTTGCTAGTCTCATAACATTTGGTAATGCCAGTGGTAAAATTCCTCCATTTGATGTATTGAGATTGGCAGAAAAAAATATAAGATTGATGAGACCAACTTTATTCAATTATCTTGTTACAAAAAAAGAATTTCAAAAATACACTAAAGAAGTTTTTGAATTTATTATTAGTGGAAAAGTACATATAAACATTTGGAATGTATACAAATTATCTGATGCTAAGAAAGCACATGAAGATTTAGAAAGTAGAAAAACTACTGGAAAATTACTTTTAGAACCTTAATCATGATTATCATTTGTATTTTTTTGTTTTTCTAATTGAATTATATTTTGTAATGAAATCACTATAATCTTTATCAATGTTTAACCAACTGTTATTAATAAAATTTCTGTGTAATTTTTCCATAAATATCAAAGTTGAGGACATCAATGATTGATTCTCAGTACTTTCTAATATTTCTAAAGATAAAAATAATTTTTGAAATATTGTTGTCAATAAATTAAATAATGTTTGTAAATTTTTACGTTTACGTGAAGAAAAAGTAGTTGACAACTTTGTTATTTCTAAAGTTGAAAATAACTAAATTAAAAAAAATAAATAGTTAATATAAAAAAAAGTTTTAATTAGAAAGTTTTTAAGAAAATTTTTTTACCTTTTCAATTGTTATTATTGACTTTTTAATTACTACCATTCTAAAATTAATTATTCTATAATCATTTTTTGTTAAGTTTAATTTATTAAAATAAAAATCTTTATTTTGAAATGATTTTAAATGATCTTTGCAAAATTTAATTAATTCATAATCTGATTTCATATTATTATTATTATTAAAAATATTTAATAATAACTTTTGTTTAAATAAATTTGATTTTTTATAATCAATATTTTCTTCTTCACCTTCACCTTCACCTTCATTTTCTTTCACCTTCCCTTCTTCCTCGTAATAGTAATTATTATTACTCAATTGGAAATTTTTATTACTATTATTGATTATTTCATTTGCAACCTTCCAGCATTTTCTTACAAGAATTATTAATTTAATTGTTTGTTTGTAATATAATGAAATAAGATGAAATCTAGATTTATAATTATTGATCCAATTATCATAATCTCTAATTAACAAATTAAATTTATCATCTAATTGTGATAATAAGTTGTATTTGTTAAATAATACTATTAATAAACTTAGATAGTAATTATAAAATGATTTAGATAAATTATTATTATTATCATCATTTAAGTTTAATAATGACAATAAATTATTTGATTCACCATGTGAAATGTGATCTCTTAATCTAGGACCATCCGAATAAATAAACAAATCAAGCAACAAATCCTAAATCATGTAAATAAATAAAATTAGATTAAATTAGATTAAATTAAATTAGACTGGAAATAGATGATATGTATCTACCATAATTCCACCTTCAATTTCATTGTAAAATTCATTTTTAATATCAAGTTCGTTACTATTTTCAATGTTGATATAGTTATGATCAATAAATTTGTTTAATATAATATTTAATGTTAAATAATATTCGCCAATTTCAACAGTTGATATAAAATATTTTTTAATATTTCTATTAATAGATACAAAAATTCTTCTCAAACAATGTTCAAATAATGGTAAAGTATTAATAAAAAATAACAATAATAAATTATTACTATCATTATTGCCGTCATCACCATCTGTTTCTTTATCTTTTTCAATTAAATAATCAAATGATTTAATTCTATAATAACAATTTTATTAAAAAAGAAAAACAAACAGTCCTAGATCATAACACAAGTTTGATTCGAACCATTGAAGATCTTCAACAAAGTGGACCAAATATTTCAATTGTTGGGATACACAGCAGATCTTCTGGATCAAATTTTCCACAAGATGTTTCAGAATTGGTCGAAGAATATACAAGAGTTAAAGCTGAACAAAAATGTTATAAGATCAAGATTCAGAAACTTGAAGATCAAATTAAAGATTTAGAACACACTAAAGAAAGATTAATGGATTCTATTAAATTTATTAAAGGTGTAAATATTCGTATGAAAAGTCAGGCTCATTTATTAAGTACAGAACTTGAAAATGAAAGAAATTTGCATAACGAGTTGTCAAATTATATCAAATCAAATAATTTATCAAAGAATTTATCAAATGATGATATCCAAGGAATTTCTGCTCAAAAACTACTCAATCTTGAAAAAGAAAGCTCAAAATTAAAGGTAAACCAAATAATATTATATACATATTGACTTAATTTATATTTATAAATATATATGTTTATGCTTATATCTATGTTGATGTACATTAATAGATGGATAATGAAATGATTACAAAAGAGTTGAAAAATGTTGAAGAGAAATTGGAAACTGCAAACAAAGAATTATATAGTTATCGGCTTCAGAAATCAGAAATTGAATATCAAAAGAAAACTTTAGAGGGTATTTATTCAAATATTAATCATTCATGCATGTACATATATAAAATATCATTTAATCTATTTTAATCTTTTTTTTTTCAAAAAAAAAAATATGAATAATTTACAATCTTTAGATACAAATAAACTCCTTGAAACACGTCTTAACCTCAAGGAAACAGAGTGTCAGAGTTACAAGCAAGTATCAGATCAAACTAGTAAATTAAATAAACAAATTCAAGCATTACTTACAAAAGTATTTAACTTTTTTTTATATGAGTGCTTATTTAGTATATACAGGTGTTTTAATTGATATTTGACTAATTACTATTGTATCTGTAAATTATTTTATAGGCAGATGTTGATAGAACAGTAATGAGTGCTGAGGTTGATAAATTAAAAACAGAATTGGATTCAACTAAAAATACATTATCTGAATTACAAAAAGATTATACTAAAGGATCAAATGACTTGCATGTTACTAAAGAGAAAGCAGAAAGTTCTTATAATGAAGTACAGTTGTTGAAAAAAGCTAATGAAGAGCTTGAGAAAAAGTATAACCAAACTCAAGAAAAATTAATAAATGCACAAGCTAAAAATGAAAATCTTAAAGAACAACTCTCAGATCTGAGTGAAAGATATTCTAATGCAAACCTTAAATGGACTGAAGAAAATCAAAAACTCGTAGACTCTTCTAAACAAGCAAATAGTAAGGTTGTTGAATTACAAACTGAAATTGAAGAGTTAAAGAAAAAAGTTGAATTGCAATCTAATGAACTCAAGCAATCTCAAGAAAAATTGACAGTTTATGAGCAAAATGAACAAGGAGCATTAATTAATAAATTGAGTCATGATTTGGATTCTGCCAATGAAGAAATTAATGTATTGAATAAGGGAATGGATGTTCTTAAGAATTCTCTTGAAACACTTGAAATAATTTCCAATAATACAAAACAAGATTATGAACACTTAAAAGATACTCTAGAAAAAGAAAGAGCTGAATTCCAGGTAAACATAGTTAAACAATTAAGCCAAATTTATAATTATAATAAATTAGTCGTCAGGATTTATTTTTAATTTTTTAATTATTTGCTTTTTTTTCAAAAGTCACGATCAGAAGATTTTGATAAAAAAGATGAAGAATTTCAAAGGATGAAAAATGAGCTTTCTATAATAAATCAAGGACTTACAGAAGTGACCATTGAAAAGGAACAGTTGGAAAAAACATTAAGTGATCTACATAATAAATCAAAAGAAGACGAGACACTGCTTCGTTTAGAAATTCAGAAACATATAGATATGTTAGCAGAACTACAAAACAATTATAACTATCAACTTCAAATTAATGTCAAAGATTCTCAACAGTTAACTGAAGTCAGACAGAAATATTCACAACTACAATTAGATATTGAAAAGACCAAGAATGAAAAACAAATTTTAGATTCTTCGTTGAGACAACAGAAAGAAAATTCTGAGAGAGAATTGACTACATTAAGAAATGATTATAATCTTCTTTTGGAAAACAACAAGGTTCTTAAAGGTTATTTTGATAAGAATGTTGACATGTCAGAAGATCAAGTGATACCAATATTGAGAAAAGAGAATGAGAGATTAATAAATCAAAGAGAATTCTATTTACAACAAGTTGAAAAATACAAGGCACAACTTGAATTGTTACAAAAGACTGCTGATGAATTGAAAGAATCATTGAACAAAGTGAGTAATTGATTTTGTATTATAAATTGTACCATATTATTATATATATTAATTGTTTTGATTTAAAAAAAAAAAGGAACGTGAACAAAAAGAATCAATTGATTTAGAACAATTGAAACTTCAACTTCTTGAAAAAGAAAATCAAGTTAAGATACTTGAAGAAAGTAACAGAACTCTTAGATCTGACTATGATAAAATGAAGAGTTTTATTGAACAATCAGATAAATCAATTGAAAATTCTAATAATGATAAAATTAAGATTGAAGGTGAAATACAGAAATTAAAATTAGAAATTGAAAAATCAGCCAAAGAGCTAAATCTTGTAGAAAATGATAGAAATTGGTGGAGAGAACGATTTCACGTAGTTTTAGAAAAACATGGAATAAGTGATCCAGATGAACTTGAACAAACTAAAGAAAAATTGAAAAAATCCGAAGGAGAAAAGGACACATTAATGAAAGAAAAGGACGTGTTAATGAGAGAAAAGGATGCATTAATTAAAGAAAAAGATGCATTAAAAGTAGAGAGAGACGCAATAAAAGCAGAGAATTCAAGATTAAGAATTGATGTAGCCAACTTTAAAAAACAAATTACTGATTCAAAGAAACAAATCGATGATTTAAATAAAGAAATACTTCAATCTAAGAAAACAGATCAAACTACTACCAAGAATTTTCAGACCCTTAAGGGACAAGTAAGTTTATAGATTTATTTATTTATATTTATATTGATTAGTTGGAGTTTTTTTACAAATTTCTTTCTTTATATCTGCAGTTTGAGAATTTAAAAGGTTATGCTCAGAAATTGAAAACAGAGTTATTAAGATTAAGGTCTCAAGAAACCATGTGGACCACTAAAAATAAAAAGCTAGAGAATGAAATTTCTGAGTTAAAAAAAGCTCAGGAGACCTCTTTACAAACTGTTGAAGTTATTTCAGCAGCACAACCTCTAGAAATCTCAAAGCCTGAAACTACCACATCTAACCCCATTGAAACTCCAAATCCTGAAGTAGCTTCTAGACCTATTATGGAAGCACCAACACCCCCTGCTAAACCAACAGAGACACCTGAGGCTCTTACAAAAATTTCTGAAGACACACCTAAACCCGAAGAAGCATCTAAACCACCAGTAAAATTACAAAGGTATCGAGGTCCTTTGGAAACACCAACTACTACTCAAATCAAACGATCTAGAGAAGAAGATACACCTCAGACAACTACAACAGATGATCAAGGTAAAAAACAAAAAACTGATCTTTGAAATGTTTCTGGATACATATAGACGCAATTGTAATTTTTATAATAATGATAATAATGATTTTATAATAACATAATCATAAATAGAATCTAATTTCATGTATAATGCTAATGTAGTAATAAAGTATATAAACATTGCATATTACATTTTTTTTTTATTTGAAATTCATCCAACTTTTGTCCACATGATTTAATCGACTGATTACGGAAATCTGTTTATTTTACATCATTTATTGAAATAATACTCATGCAACAAACCTAATTCCATAATTTTGGGATGTGTCCATCCTGTTCCAGAAGATGTAGAACTTTAATTTTCTAAAGAATCATTATCAGAGCCTTTATATGAACTAAATACATATAAATTATTTTAGTAAATATTTCTTTAAAAAAAAAAAAATCAAATATAATATAGGAAAAGAGTGATTTATTAAATAGGTTTATTATCCAAATTTTTTCAAAAGCTATTATCTGTTTTCATTTTTCTTTGACAGCAGCTATTATTTTTTGTTTATTGCAAATCATAGATAATTTTAGTGTCCATATTAGGGATGGGAAATTGCATCGTGTGCCTTTCATGCAGTGCATTTTTTTTTAAGAAAAATCACTCAACATTATATTCGGCATTACTACTTTTAAACTGTCAATATCACTATAATCAACATTACATTTGTAACTTTACTTATCTTGGGGGTTTCAATTTATTATTAAAATATATACAAACTAATTTAAAAACACGATCATTTGTCAATTTATTTCGTTTTTATCATGTATATAAGAAAATGTAGACCAAATCCTTTCTGCTGCAGCTGATGAGGTAGGAATAGAAAGAACTCTCTCTTATTGCAACTTTTGTCAATTCAGGTGCCACAGCTCCAAAATTACCTTTCCACCAGGTTAATAAATCCACATTATTGATAGATATCCCCATGCGTTGCCAAATATACCACTACGGGCTTTATATTGTAAAATTTAATTTCTGCATTTTCTGTATATGACCTTTGAAAAAAAATCATGCGCATTGCATTTTTTTTTCATACGCATGGAGCATCTCTAGTCTATATTTTCTATTTCTAATTCATAGTCACCTTCTTTGGCCACAAAAGGTGCTTGCTCTGTTGTACCATACTAACAACTGTAACCTGAATGAAAGAGAACTGCAAAAAGCCGAGAAAAAGTTAAAAGACAAACTAACTGAAAAAGAAATAAGGAAAATTCTGAAAGAAATTGGTCTGCATTCTCATATATATATACATGATAAAAAAAGAAATAGACTAACATCTGGTATGGTTTTCAAATTAGTGTTTATTTATTTTAATTATAATTACAAAAATCAAAAAAATCAAAATAAATTAAAAGATAATGTCAATGGAAACACTATGATACTGGTAATGATAATGAGGAACAGGAAGATGATGGTATTGAAGTGAAAATGATGATAGTGATGTATATACATCTGAATCAGTGACTAATATTAGTGATTAAAATCTGTTTTGTTTTTTTTAATAATAATAAAATTTTTTTTAAAAAAATAAAAAGATTGGCAGATGCAGTGCACATTAAGTTTGAAATTTTCATGCAATTTCCCATCCCTAGGCATGAACAATTTAATTGTCATTTTCGTTTTGATCAAAAAAAAACATCTATTAATTAGGTTGATATCCAAATATATATTGCTTGTAACCAATTTATAATTAGTTATAAGTAATTATTAAATGATTATTGAATCTTAACTAATTATTAATGGATCTAAACATTAATTGAATCATTTAATCAGATCTTAACTAAACATCAAATAATTAATAATTAGACTTCTGCACATAATAATTTCTAACATTCTCATGTGATGCTCTGTTATTATAAACTCCATACATATGTGAAATTTAAAAAAAATAAAATAACTTTATTGATATTAATATGTATTTTTGCATTATTGCAAATATCCACACATGTTGTACAATATAGAGAACTAAGAAATAAGAATTCAATGATTCATTTTTATTTAATGATTTAATCAAGTAAAATACAAGAAAGATACAAGAATAATAATAGGTGATAATGCATCATCATGATGCTTTCTTTTTCCAACATTTATTATTCTTGGTAAATTTCATAAGTAATCCTTTCTTTTCTTAGATAAGTTTCTAGTGTCTGAGTATCATTTTCAATAAGAAAAATGCATAATTATTAAAGATATAAACCATTTTTATTAAATTGTATTGTTAATGAAAATAAA